CCTACGTCAACATCAACCGACCGGTACTTCACAAAAACTGATCCCAAAATAAACAGGTGCATTCAATGTCTAACCTACAATTCCCTCCTTTCCCCCTAGGTAACCGGGCGCGACACCCTGAACGTCATCGCCTCGCCTCTCCTCTACNACCGGGCGCGACACCCTGAACGTCATCGCCTCGCCTCTCCTCTACCACGCCGTCTTCAACGCCACCAAGGAGGTCTCCCTTCCGACGGCGGAGCTCGAGCAGAAGCCAGAGGGCTTCAGCACTGTCTACGACAAGTGGTTCACCAGTCAGACGGTGATGCGCAACCGCTCCGCTCTAGTGCTCTTTCCCGGCGTCGAGGAGCGCCTGAGAGAGGTGCTCGGCGGGGAGTACCCCGGCGAGGTCGGCCTGGGCCACGCCGACCAGCACCACTTTCGCCACGAGGAGGCCAGCGAGGCCGGTGACCTGCTGAAGAGCTACGCACAGTCGGCGATGCAGGAGAGCCGGCCGAGGGTAAGGCCGGTGGACATGCTGGGCAGCTACGCGCCCTTCCTCACCATGGTCGGCGTGCCCTCCGTAGATGTCGGCTTTGTGGAGCACGCCACCGGCGAGGAGGCGGGCGGCAGGCGGTCCTCGCTTACCGCTCATTCACACGCCCAAACTACCACCGAAGAGGAGTCCTCAGCGGCCTTCGAGGACCTCCTCTACCCCAGTCGTCCCTATCCGCTGCTGGGCACGCAGTACGACCAGGCGGTGGCGGTGGAGCGCTTCGTCGACCCCGGCTACGCCTACCACCTGACGGTGGAGCAGGTGCTGGCGGAGCTGGTCCGCTCGCTGGCCGACTCGCCCTTCCTCCCCTTCAACCTGCTCGACTACGCACAGCTGCTGCGCGACTTTTCAGTCAAGTCGACCCAGCTGGCGGGGAACATCATGCGCGAGTACCGCAGCAACGCCGACAACACCAGCCTGCAGTTGATGGCTCGCCTTGATCTGAGTAAGTCATTTGATTCGATAAAGGTGGTACAATAAAAATAACAAAACTAACAATCATCATCAACAGAGTCCCTCGAGGCGGCGGTGAACCGCTTCACCAACGAGGCGATACGCTTTCACGCCCGTCAAGACCACGTTGATCTCAAAGAGTAAGTGTGTCACGCTAAACATAACAGTCAAAAATGAGGTCTACAAATAATAATGAAAATGTTTTCACTTACCTAACCATTCCACAGTCCTCTGGCAGTCCGACGCATCAACGACCAGCTGCAGATGGTGGAGCGGCAGTTTCTCGACCACCGCGGCATTCCCAACAACAACCTCAAGCGCCATCTCATCCTCTCGCCCGCCGACAAGCTGAGCTCCATCAGTGGCGCCCTCGAGACGGAGGGCATCTTCCCGGCGCTGCTGGACGAGCTGGATCAGATCATCGACAACAGCTACATTAACGTGTCGGTGATGCGCCTGGAGAAGCACCTGCCGCTGCTGATCAACACCATTCAGAATGCGGCGGATATGCTCGCGGAGAGCTGGTAGTGTGTGTGTGTAGAGATGGTGTTAAGAGAGTGCTTTTTTGTTTGTCTCAGGTTCGATTGCTCTGCAGCTGCTGATTTCAGAGTTGAGCTGGGTTTTCTCTGAAACTCCACCGAAACTTTTGTGATATTGACATAATTCTATTCGTAGTTGTCTCTTCTTTCATTAAAATTATAAAAATTATTTGTAAACATTTTGATTTCTTCTGTCAGTTTAACCGCTTCAGAAAATGGTAATAAATAATGTGACTTGAGTGATAAATTTTGACGGTGGTAAAAGGAGGTGAAAAAGGGAGCTTCAATCATCATTGCTCTTTCGCTTCTTGTTAGAATTGGAGGTCACTTCCTGCAAAGGTCGCTTGAAAGTCGGTTGAGCTGCAGGGCTCTGAAAGCAGAACAGCAGAATTGTTTACAATGAGCTGACAAGATAGACGTGTACTTACCGGAACAAAGGTTTCCATTAGAAGATCGAAATCATCATCGAAATCGTCATCATCGAAAAAGTTGCACTCGTTCTCCTTCTCTTCAGTAGACGAATCTTTCGGCGGCTGATCAGTCGCTTTGGCCGAAGAACTTGAACATGAAGGCACTTGAAAATCACTTCCCCACAGTCGGTTCCTAGCGATTTCCATCTGCGCGCAGGAGACTTCGACGGGGCGGCCACTGGCGGTGGTGAAGACAATCGAGGTCACAGTTGACGTGGTCATTGTGGATTTTCAAAAAGAGTTTTTAAAAAAAAAGTTACAAGTTTGACAGAGGACTGATAAGACTGATTCAGTCTGACTGAAAATGTTTTGACTTGACAATTTAAGCAAATTTCGATTTGCAGCCAGTCATAGACGACGTGACTGAAAAAAAGCGTCTGAAAAAACCGCCTGCAAAAACCCTGATTTTGGGTCTACTGAAAGCGAAAAAAATGCTCTTACCTTGTTAAGATTTGTCGTCCTGTAAATGGTAGAATTTTACGCGCCCAGATGACCCAAAAAATGGCGTTCAAGACTGAGTCAGGCATGCGCGCCGACGCCATCTTTGCCAGACAGCTGGTCGCCATCGTTCATTCGCCTTCAGGATTCCTCTACGCTCGCGCCATTTTCTGAACGTTTCTAATTTGCTATTGAAGAATCTATAAAAAAGTATTGATGACTTTTGTTCCAACACCTTCTCTTATTGTAACGTTTTGTTACTTTTCACCCTTTTCTTTCAGTGGAAGACTCCTCGACAACTGCGGCGGATTCGGTGAAAGTCAAAGGCTTGGGCGCCAATGTTTGGAAAGCCGAAAAGATTGTCGGTGAACGCTCTGACATCTTTCGAGGTATAGAGGTGACCGAGTTCCTCATCAAGTGGGAAGGATACGATGACGACCAGAACACCTGGGAGCCAAAGAAGCACATCTTCGACAAGAGCCTAATTGATGACTGGCGCGCTGAACACCCGGCTGTGCCTTTGCCGAAGAAGCCCAAGTTGGCCGATGTGATCAATGCCAAAGAAGGCCGCAAGAAGGGAAAAATGATCGTTAAGAAGGTGAAGAAGCCTTTCAAGAAGATGGAGGCCGATTCTTCTGCTGCTCCAGATGTCGTAAAAGCTAAGAAACGCAAACCATCAAATCTCATACCGGAGAAGAAGAAGGCAGGCACAGTCACCGTCGTTCCAGCTCCGGTGCCCGTTTTTTCAGGCGGGCCGGCGGTGCGCGTTTCGAAAATTCCCAAAATCATCGGCTTCAGTAAAATCGAGGCAACTGGTGGCGTGACGGTGCAAATCGTCGAGCTCGACCCGAAGAATGCCGCCTAGGCAAACATTGAAGTTGCTCTAGCGCTGATTCGCTAACATTCTCTAATTTCCCTTTCGTTTATCGTGCTTCAAAAAACACCTACCGCAAGATTATAGTTTATAATATATTCCCACATAAAGAACCTCTTTTCGACTAACTTCTTTGAGTGAAAGCTTGTTGTATTGAAGGTAGCAATGGTGATGATGATCTAAACAGTGAGGTGTGTGTGTGTCAGATTGAGTGATTAGATTGTCGTGTTCGTTCGTTCGTATGTTAGTGTTTCTGTTTACGCCTTACTGGCCGATTCTTTTCCTTCGAGAACACTTTTAGGTGGTGCTGCGCTCTTCACCTGGCTCTTCGCCGGCGCGGCTGACTTGCTCGGAGCCTTACTCTTTGCTGCGGACGCTGCTTTACTGGTCGGTTTACTCTTTGCTTTACTAGCGGGTGCTGATTTAGATGCCGCCGCCGCCTTTGACTTGGACTTTACCGCTGATCCTGCGCCAACTTTTGAGCCCACTTTAGAGCCTGCGGCCGCCGATTTCGCTGCCTGGGACTTTGCCTGAGAGACAACTGGTCCTGATTTGATGGCTGAGCCGGCGGCGGCTTTCGGTGATTTGACTTTGGAGCCGGACTTGACTTCACTTGCAACTTTGGAGCCAGCCACTTTGGAGGCCACCGCTGACTTGGCCGTAGATTTGGCCTGCGATTTGGCGCCGCCACTGCCTGATTTGGCCTTCGAGACGCTTCCCGCCACCTTTGAAACCTTGGAAGCGGGCTGAGATTTGACCGCCGATTTGGCTTTCGATTCAGCGGCTTTTGAGGCGGGAGCTTTAGATTTAGGTGGCGGTGATTTGGCTTCGGACTTGGCCTCTGATTTAGAAGCCGCTTTTGAAGCTACTTTGGAAGCAGCTTGAGACACCTTTGAGGCCGGCGGAGACGAGGTCTTCTTGGCCGAGGACGCCTTGGCCACCTTCGAGCCACTGGCGCCCGACTTCTTCACCGCACTGGCCACCCTTGAGCCGGAAACTTTTGAGGCGGCTGAGGGGGGCGCCGACTTTCCCGGAGCACTACCTCCCGACTTTCCATCCACCTTTGAGACATTCGAGGCAGCAACAGACTTTTCTACTTTCGAGCCCTCTTTTGAAACCGGTCCTGACTTGACGGCGGACTCCACCTTTGAGCCGGCTGCTGATCCTACTTTAGAGGCAACTTTCGAACCCGATTTGGCCACCTTAGAGCCACCTGAAACAGCGGAGCCCACTTTGGAGGCTGGGGCCGACTTTCCCGCCCCACCGTGCGTCACCGCATCGCTTTTGCCGGCGGCGGTGACCACCGAAACGGGCGCCGCCTTACTTCCTCCTCCTCCACCACCACTTTTGCTAATACTGCCACCAGGACCGACGACTCCACCGGCAATGACAGCTGCCGTCCCAGGAAAGACTTCGTGGAACCAGGGATGGCGACCGATGCGCTCAAAGGTCAGCCTCATCATGGCATTTGTGGTCAGCAGCTGACTGAGCAGACTGATCAGCTCCGGGCTGCTGTCTTTGATCTCCTGCACGTTGCCCTGCAGCTCATCCTCAATCTTCGGATTTTCCTTCTTCACGTCGTGCGGATACTCGAGCGTTGCCATGAAGTAGATCACCGCGCCGTACGACCAAATGTCGGCAATGATTGGGTCTGAAAAGAAAGGAGTTTTAATTGATTTAGTTTTATTAGTATACTACAGCTACCAAACTCCTCCTTCTTCTCGTCGCCGTACACCTCGGGCGCCTGGTAGTCGGGCACGTCGCGGCTCTTCTTCTCCGAAGGAACGCAGGGAAAGTTAAGAATGTCCTCCTTCGCCGGATTCCAGTAGATGACGGCGTCGTAGAAACCGGTCAGACGGACCTGCAGGTCGGAGTTGACGAGGAGGACGCGGCGTGGTTTGATTCTAAATATAACTAGTTAAACTCTACGCCAAAACTTCCTCATCACTACCTCACTTACCCTCGATGGCAGATGCCCATATCCCCGAGAAAGTCCATCGCCTTGTACAGCTGCCTTGCCCACTGACAGATGATCTGCTCCTCTTGCTGGCCGTACTTGGAGAGAAAGGAGCCGACATCGTAGCGATTGGCGAACTCCTGGATGATGATAATGGTGCCGCCCTTGTCGAAGATGTCCCACGTGGAGAGCACATAGGGGTGCTTCTTGCCCACCTGGCGGAGCATCTTCAGGTAGAGGCGGTTGGGAATGCGGGCGTCCTCGGAGAGCAGGTCGGCGCTCTCGAAGATTTTCGCCACCATGCCCGCCTCGGGGTAGTCGGCGTGGGTGGCCTTCACCACCCGACACCGGCTGCCCATCTTCCCGTCCAGGCTCTTGTCGGCGTTCTGCTCGATGGTGTACTTGTTGAAGGGCGGCTTGTCGGCCTCGGCCGGTTGCGCTCCGTCCTCCTTGAGGATCTTCTCCACGTTAATCTTCAGCAGCATCTTCATGTAGGCGAGCCGCTTGTCGTCCAGCGTGAAGCCCTCGGTGCCCGCCTGAGGGACGAACTTGGAAACGGCTTTTGGGTCAGAGTCGACGTAGCTGGGCGTGATTCGCTGCTGTCTGCTGGGCTTTCCAGAACCATCTTCCGAAGCTTCCTCACCGCTGACTGCTTTGCTCTGCTCGGCTTTGCTTCCCTCTTTGCTCTGCTCGGCTTTGCTGCCTTCTTTGCTTGCTGGCGCTGATTTCGAAGCTGCCTCTTTTGAGCCGGCTACTTTGGAAGCCACTTTGGATCCAGAGGCCTTGGAGCCAGCTTTAGAGACAGCATTGCCTGATTTGGCCGCTTTAGAAGCTTCTTTGGAGCCGGCAGCTTTAGACGGCGCCTTTGACTTCGATTTGACCGCTGAGCCTGATTTCTTCTCCTCTTCCTCGTCAAAAGCGCTGCCCTCTGCTTTGCTCTTCTCCGGTGGACTTTTGCTGGCCGGCTCTTTCGACTTCTCTTCGATTGCGCTTTCCTTTGGTTCTGCCACTTTGGACTTTTCTTCGGCCGGTTCTTTTTCCTTCTCTTCCTCCTCGTCCCTCTCCTTCTTCGAGGAGATCTTGCTCACCGAGACCATCTTTTTGGTGATGTAGGGCATGGTGATAAAAATAAAGTCAAGTTTGTTGTTGTTGCTGTTGCTGTTAAGAAAGATTGTGACAATGGTTTACTTTTCAACAAAAGTTTTTAAAGATAAAAAAAGTTCTACTTGTTTATTAAAAAAATGTTAAAT